AATGCTGTGTGTGTGTGTGTGTGTGTGTGTGTGTGTGTGTGTGTGTTTGTGAACTGCTAGAACTCATTTCACCAAACTTGCGAGAGACATTTGTCTTTGAGCTGAGCGTTTGTTTGTGCCGTGAGCAAGAAATGTGGTCACGTCAATCTTTCTGAGAGAACTGGTGCTCCCTCAGTAATTAACCTTCCATCTCCTACAACATTTGATATATCTGTGGATGAAACAGCATCTATGGATGAAACAGATGCTCAGAAACCCCCCTCATTTATTCATACACTAATAAAAAAGTATGAAACATACACTGCCGAAAGTTTGGGATCAGTAAGGTTTTTAATGTTTTTGTAAGTACAGCAAAAAGAGTAATACAGTTAAAAAAGTTTAAAAGAACAGCATTTATTCAAAATATTTATTTATATTTATTTTATTATATTACTGTTTTAACTGTATTTTCTGATCAAATAAATTCCACCTTGATAAGCATGAGGCTTTTTTTCAAAACCATTACAAAATCTTACCCACCCCGAACTTTTGACTGTACTTGTTTTTGAACACTGTAACAGTAAAGCATGCCGCTAGCAACACCAAAGCTATTGGTTTGATTTCCAGGGATCTCAAGAACTGATAAAATGGACATGGAAAATTGCCTTGAATGCATTGTAAGCCACTCTGGATAAAGGTGTCAACCAAATGACGTCATACTGACCTTTAATGACTTAATACCAACCATAAAACACATGCTGTGGATGATTGATAGTGCATTAACGCTAACAAAAGAGTAATGGTTCATCAGAATATCCAGTCAACCATCTGTTTATCCACTTACTCGCTTTGTGCCTCACTGTGTGCTCTTTTTTTCTGTAGAAGTGTTTTATAGCCTGAACAGTATGGGCAGAGTCAAAAATAGCCCACCTGCTGAAGATGAGGAGACTCCGCTGGAATCTGGAGCTTTCGTCATCAAATAGAGTTTATCTCTGTCTTTATCCTTGGCCCATTTACCATAGCTTGTGGTTTTATCTTCAGCCGTGTCCTGCTATTGGAGAGCGGCATAGAAACAGAAAACATGTAAAACAGAGATTTTTCATAATTGCCTGCTGGGTAGACTGAGCTGTAACCCCATGAGGTAGTGCAACTTTAAACTTTAAAAAGAGATCTGAATAAATGAAGAGATGTGCCAATGTTCCTCAGGAAGACCTTTATTTGAGCATTATCTGTGGGACGTCATGACTGATATTCAGTGCTCTTAAACAACAGTTCATTACACAAAAAAATGAATAACACACAGCCTAAAATGTCAAGATAACTTTTTTGTTTGCTTGTTTATATTAGGCACACCAGCTCTGGTGAAGGGGCAAATGGATCAAACTGACATTTCTGAAAGAACCTCTTATTAAAATTAACAAAGACTGAAAAATGCTATGTTATTACTTTCAAATTTTCTATTTAACACTCTGGTGCATGGCAATTATTAATTGCATTAGATATGGAATCATTATGGTTTTGTTTGGAAGTTAAATAAATAAATATATAAATAAATCATCATCATCATCATCATCATCCTAATAATACAGGATCAGTGCTATTTTAGTTAGTTGTTAACCTAAACTAACTTGAAATAGTTGTTAATTAAAATAAAGCTTAAATAGAATAAAATATAAATATTAGATGAAAACTTGTTTTTCTTCAAAATTTCATATTTCATTTAGTGTTATTTGATGTTTTCTGAATGTTTGTGAAATTTACTAGCAATTTCTTAGTGAAAATTGTTTCTATACCAACATTTTTCAGTGTATTGTAACTAATTTCTGTCAAAATATTTGTATCTACTTTTAAACCATAAAAAATTCAAATTAAAAATAAATCATGTATCATAGAATTGCTTGTTTTGATGACAATGATGCTAACACCACAGTTTGTTTGCAGTAAAAACTGCAGTAACATTGTATTTTAGCAGAAAATATTTTACCATAACTTTTATCTTTGTTAACGTTTACAAAACAGTAAGCTGTTATTCTCTTCCAGGATTTTCAGTTTGATCCATTTACCCGTCCACTAGAATCCTGCTGTGGGACTAGGTTTTTCCTAATGAAAAAATAACAAGAAGAAAGTAAATCGCTGGCACGTCGCCATCAGACTCCTGGCCCTGTGTTTGAAGGTGCGTGCAGATTCAAGTGCAGATGTGTGCTGGCGCCTAAACTGAACCTTCACTCACATCAAAGACATGCAAAATGAGACTAAATGGAAGCTGTGGTCGTTTTAATGATTAAGGATGGCTTGTGCGACACCGGGGCGACAGCTGGGGTGTGAGCTGGCAACAGCTGAAACCATAAAATTTTCATTCCTCAAGGATAAAGATGGAAAGATGGCAAGAAAGGACAGAGGAGAATCAGAGAGGATTGTTGTGAGAGAACTATGAAAGATAAATGCAAAAATTTGCCCTATACAACATTAGGAAGATTAGATCCTTCCTATCAGAGCAGGCCGCACAACTTCTTGTCCAAGCTCTTGTTCTCTCCAGGCTGGGCTATTGTAATGCTCTCTTGGCGGGCCTTCCGGCATGTATTATCAATCCAGAATGTAGCAGCGAGAGTGGTCTTCAGCGAGCTGAAGAAAGCCCACATCACACCTCTCTTCATCAGTTTGCACCTGCTGCCAATAGCCTCTTGCATCAAATTCAAGGTACTGATGTTTGCCTACAAAACAACCACTGGCGCTGCACCAACATACATAAACTCGCTAGTTCAGACTTATGTGAGAATCTTTTACAATAAGACTAGCAATGTATAAAGAGAGTAAATGGGGTCAATATTGTTTTTATGTTGACATTTAAAGACTGTTCAGATTTTTTACAGGTCAGTTAGTTTAGCGGTTGCTTAATTTGGGCTCTGGGAGTACACGACCTGGACGCTGCCATCCATGCTTTTTGTCCAAGTAATGGTGTAGATTTGGTTTCTACTGAAGCTGACCAGTGAGTAGCTAGAGCTTCAGTTTATGCAGCTGAAGGTTACTGTAACCAAAGTCTAATGTGTGTGATACACAGATGTATTATAGAGGCTTGGGAATCTGTTAGCAGATGCCCAGACCCAAGGCCTGGGAAATCAGAGAGAAACCAGGGCAATGGGGTAGAAGAAACAGACTCAGGCAGCAGGTACACTGGAGAGGAGGATGAGGAGAAGCATATGTTACCAACTTTTTGGATGGGTCAGCAGTTTCTGTAGGTCGGAAACGAGGACCACAGAGACCCACAGAGAGGTTGTTCTCTGTAATGTGGGGTGCTTCTCATGAATAAGACAAATGCCCCCCTACAGCTCCCTGAGAAGTGTCCTACAGAGCCTGAGAAATGAGGATGACAAGGTGCTGAAGGAAATCAATAGCAGTGAGAGAGTGGAGATGTTCTGAGCGTGGAGGTGTTGACATGCAAGATCAGTGGGTGCATTATGTCAAATTCAGACCTCAAAGACATGGATCTTTTGTGACACAGATGTCGTACATTGCTATTTATGTTGCATCTAACATTTGTTACATGCTACACCAACTGTTATTTTGAACAGGCTTATTTTAGTGATTTGCTTTAACTAGTTTCCAAAGCAAACACTGCTTAAGAGTTAAGCTGTTAGGCAGATGATAACATGGATAAATCTTAATCTCCAATTGTTTGCTTGTTTGTTTGTTCATTCATTCATTCAAAACAACACATTGATCTCTATTAGTTTTGGTGACGTAATATATTCATGTGTTCGTTCGTTGATTTATTTATTTATGTATACATTCATTAATTCACACACACACACACACACACACACACACACACACACACACTCACTCAC